CTAAGGCATCATCGCAACTACTCTGAGCTCAGAGATGCCGCTCGCAAGTCGCTCTGGCCCGCTTCGCCCGAAGCGTCCTCGCAACTCGGTCTCCGCGATGTCCCTAGTAGGGCGCTGCAGCCCGTTTCGCCTGAGACAAGCTCGTTACTTTGTTCTCCGAGGTGCTGCTTCGGGAGCTCTAGACTGGAAGTTCCAGATTGAGAGTTGAGAAACTGGAAACCCGCAGGAGCCCGTTTCTTTATTGCTTGGGGCATGACGGGCGGCATGGCCCCCGCTCCCCCCCCCTATGACGTAACGCTTCCCCCCCCAGTGCGCTCCGGGCACTGCCGCCGTACGCATTGGGATCCGCGTAGGTGTCCGCGTAGGAATCCGCATACGTGTCTGGTCCGCAGGCGTCGTCGTCGTCGTCGTCGTCGTCGTCGTCGTCGTCGTCGTCATCGTCGTCGTCGTCGTCGTCCGTCGTCGTCGCTCGTGGTTCGTCGCTCGTCGCTCATCGTCGTCGTGCGCGCGGACGCGGCTGGAGGAGCCTGTTTGTAAGTCCGGGCCGGTGACGGCAATCATCTGGGGGGGGAGGGGGTCGATGACGTCACGTTTCGCGCCGGCGGCGTCTGGGAATGCTTAGGAATGACGGAGGACGGGTAGCACGAACATGTAGGTGGCGATATGCACTATAACGCCTGTGTGCATCACAGTGCCCGCGTGCACCACAGCGCCTGTGTACACCACGCCGTCGATGTACACCACAGCAGCCGCGTGCAACACAGCTTCCGTTTGTGCCACCGTGCCGGCGGGCACAGCAGCTCCTGTGTACACCGCAGCTCTCCGTACACTACATCGGCCGTGCGCAACACAGCACCAGTGTACACCACAATGCCTGCGTGCATTGCAGTGCCTGTGTACGCCACGGCGCGTGTGTGACCGCATCAGCCGTGTGCAACACAGCACCATTGTTGTGTATAGAATTTTAGAAGGAATCCTTGTGACAAAATGGATCGCGTGTGGGTTCCAGAGAAAACAATGGAAAACAAATCCTCATGGACGAAGGACCGCCGCTGGAATCTACGAGTCCCCCCGAGTCCGCCCGCGTCACCCTAACTCCCACTTGCGTCCAGGAGGCTCCAGCTAAACTGGCCGTCCGAGAACCAAGTGGACCGATTCAATCGACCATCCTGCTGTGCACGCTAAGATGCGCACGTGCGTTGTAACGCCAAGCCGCACGACAGGGGGTAAGAAGGAGGAAAAGAACGAGGAGGAGGAGGAGGAGGAGGAGGAGGATATGGAGGAGATGGAGGAGGAGGGAGGAGGGAAAAACGCCGCATTCGATTCTCAGAACTTTCCTGGCGTGGCGTTTAATTGTCCGCAGCAGATCCTGACGTACATGCTCCTACTACCTGTCCTATGCGCGCAGGCACTGGTGTATACCAGCGCTGCGTTGCACGCGGATGCTGTGGTGTAGACAGGCGCTGTGGCGTGCACAGGCGCTGCGGCGCACTCAAGCACAGTGGTATACACAGGCGTTGTGTTGCACATGGCTGCTGCGGCGTATGTACACCAGCGCTGTAGTGCTCCCAAGTAGTGTGGTAAACACGGGCGGTGCGTTGCACACGGCTGTTGCGGTGTACGCAGGCGCTGTGGTGCACACGCGCGGTGTGGTGCACGCGAGCGGTGTGGTGCACACCGGCGCAATGGGCAAATCGCCACTTACATGCTGCTCGCGTCGTCGTCGTCGCTCGTCGCTCGTCGCTCGTCGCGTCGTGCGCGCGGGCGCGGCTGTGGTGCCGGACCCACACGGCGGGGGGGGGCGTCACGTCATACCCCCCCCCCTGCCCTCCCCCCCCCCATGACGCACGTCATCGCCGAACATAAAGAAACGATCTCCAGGCATTTGCTGCAGTTTCTCTATTTGGAAATCCCAAATGATAACTCGCATATTGACGCGTCGAAGAATTCGTAAGGATCTCCACCTTATCAATTTGGGAAGACCCAGATTGAACCAATTTTTCAATGTTTCAATCTTCCAATGGGGCATTTCAGGAACATTTCAATATTTCATTATTTCAATCTCGCGACGGCGGAATTGAAATTTTCAATCATGGATTGGGCTCAGTCTGACTCCATTCTCAATATTGAGCGGGCCCAAGCCCGATTATCCAACCCTTTTTTCCTGTGGCCGCTTGGGCTCAAGTTGAGGCATTGTTAATTTTCTGGAGCCCCCCTACAGCAGCTACAGATCTTCTTCGTCGTTACCTCGTCATGGCCTTCCGCACCAGTGGAGGTTATGGCGGCGGCATTGGTGGAGGCCTCGGTGGAGGCTACGGCGCCAGCGGCGCCTACAGAACCGGCGCGTACGGCGCCGGCGCGTACGGCGCCGGCGGCGCCGGGTGCTGCGGCACCGGCGGCGCGGTCGCGCCGTACGGCACCTATGGCGCCGGGGGCGCGTACGGCGCTGGGGGCGCGTATGGCGGCGGGGGTGCGGATTGCTGCGGTGCGGGCTCAGGCTGCGGCTCTGGCACCGGCGGCGGCACGATCCTTAGCTACGTAGGCCCCGGCGGCGACTATGTCCAGGAGACCACTTACAAGTACGTCGGCATGGGCGCGGGCGAGTTCGGGGCCGTCCGCATCCCCGGGCGCGGCCCGAACCTCTGCCTGATCTGCCTCGTCCCCCTGGCACTGTCGCTCCTCTTACTGCCATTTCTGATGTTCGCGATGGCGCCGGGCTCGACCACGACGTCAACGACGACGACCGTGACGATGCCCCCCGTACCAGACTTTGACGTGCCGACTCCCCCGCCTGACGCGCCGACGACCACCGAGAAGACCACCACTGAGGCGCCTCCACCCCCGCCGCCCCCGCCCCCGCCGCCCCCGCCCCCGCCTCCTCCGCCCCCCGCGCCTACTCAGCCGCCCCCTGCGTCTACGACGCAGAAGAAAATCAACTGCGGCGAGGGTGACGTCGTGTCCTGGGACGTGCCCAAGAAGGTCTACTGCTGTCTGCACGACGGCAAGGGATGCCCGACGACGCCGACTGCGCCCAGCACGATGCCAGCGCCAGCCGCGGCCCCTATCACGGTCGCGCCAGTGGTCACCACGGCACAGAGCACGACGTCTCCATGCCCGATCGACTGCAACGCCGGGTACAACGACCTGGACGAGCTGCAGTGGGTCCGCGGCTGGTCCGGCGAGAAGAAGCTCTATTGCTGCAAGACCGCCAACAAGGGCTGCCCTTCGGAGCTCCCCCCGCCCTCGGGCCTCCCGCAGGACGACGCGCCCCCCGAGGAGGACAAGAGCGAGTACGACTGCGACGCGGGCTACCACCACTGCATGCACTGCCTCGAGCTGTCGTGGTCGCCGCAGAAGATCGCCTATTGCTGCAAGAAGGAGCACAAGGGCTGCAAGGGCGAGGAACCCGAGTGAGCGGGTCGCCCGCCTCGCGCGGCCTCCCGCGGGCTCCCGGGGGCTGGCGGCTCCGAATTTTTTGCTGTGAAGAGACGGAGGGGTCAGGCGGGCCCAGGAACGGGTCAGATCGCTCCAGAGCCTTTCTTCGAAGACGGAACAGAAAGCAGCAGAAACAGAAGCCGTCGACGGTCCTTGCGGATTTCTTGGGTCTGCGTTGGAAACCCCCGGCGGCGCCTCCGGCGCCGCCCCTGGCGCGCGGAGCGCGCCAAGTTGGGGGGTTCCGCATCGATCTAAGAGATCCGCGCGGACCTCCAATATTTTCTGTTCATGCCGTTTCGTGTTCTTCTATTTCTGTGATGTTCTCAGAGCGTTCACGACGGCTCTGGGATCGCTGTTGCGCCCGATGCATCATCTATCAGGACCGCTGGATAATCTTAGAGATTCCCGGTCTATCCCGATCCAGCCTTATCCCCATCTTGCCTTCGCTTTAGAAGGCTGCAAGACGCGTTCCGACAGTCGAATTGAATCTGCCGGGAGCGTTCGAATTTTGTCCTGCTCCTCCCACGTGCGGGAGGGGCCGCAGTAGTTAGTTCAACTTTAGTTCCCAGCAGGCTCGTGCCACCTCCGAGGGGGCCGAGGGGGCCAGGTCGTCGCAGCGCGGCGCGGGCGGGAGGCGAAGCTACTCCCGCCCGCCCGGGCTCCCAGCGAAGAAATCGTGTCCCACGCCCTGCTTTGTTTCGGAGGCGCACCGAGGGGGGAAGGGACGCGATCGGGGGGAGGCCTTCTCAGAGGGCGGCGGGGCTTTTCAGAGGCCCTCGGGCATTCTGAGAAGCCCTTTGAGGCTTCGGAGAAGGCTCAGAAAGTTTCTCGTCAGGCTGCAGGCCTTCTGAGCCTTCTGAGAGGGTCCGCCTCCCCTTGCTTCCCCCCTGGGCGCGCCGCTGATTCTTGTGTTTTAGGTCTGCCTCTTGTCTGTGTGATCGGAACGTGTACAGAAATAATGGGGACGAACAAAGGCCAACGGCAGCTTCTGTCCGACAGTTCGAACAGGGTTCGCTTTCGGCGTCGCTGTGGACGTTGGCCATTTGGGTCGAAAGTTCGCCTGCCCCAGAACGGCCGCTGTCGGTGAGGACGACATATGCTGGTCGGCACCGCACTCAGTTTTTGTCCGTGCCCTGTCCAGGCGTCCCTACCTTGGGGATGGGGAATGCCCCCGTTGGGTCGTGCACGGAACACGTCGGGGCCCAGCCTTGCAGTCTTCGAAACCCGGACCTCATAGTTGATGAGTTGTGATTGATTGCGCAGGTGGCAGCGCCGCTCGCGACGGCTGGTGGTGCGCCCATGACAGGTTATGGACCATGTCGGCCAAGCCGATGAAGATGTTCTACGGATCATTGCGAAGCGGGCTGAGACCAGAGTCGCGCTCGACACTCTTTATTTGGGCCATTTGGGTCATTGGATGTCCTTGCCCCTCCCTCCCTCCCTCTCCTTCTCCTCGTCCTGCTCTTCGTCATCGTCATCGTCGTCGTCGTCCCCCTCCCCTCCTTCTCCTCATCATACGTTGTCGCCTTGTCCTCATCGTCCTCCAAGCCCCCCCCTGACGGAAGGCCTGTCTCTTCACCGCGACCGCCCACTATCCGGACGCCGCGCGGGCACGGAGAGGAAGGCAGTTGATTGGGTGGTGAAGCGATTCGCTCATTTCTGGGTTCTTGAGTTGCACGTCCTTGAATCGCGCAAGTGGCTTAGGTCGTGACATCGGTTCGTACGATCGCCGTCAGACAGGACGACATCGCTTGTTTCGACGTTACGAGCCTCTCCCCCGGGCCATATACTTGGACGAGAGCAGTGCCGTCCGCATGAGATGTTGTAGGACAGCTTGCAACATGATACCTCTTGAGCAGGGGTGGGGCATTTTGCTTGATGTGCAAGGGATCCTGTTCCGTCTCCTCCTCCCTCGTCGTCGACGTCTGCGTCTTGTCGTTGTTCTTCGACCTCTTCGAACGCTAGCCCGCCCCCCTTCTTCCCAACACACCCATAGCTTGTGATGCAACGCATGGGAGGTTACATGATGCATATGGCGCTCGTATATCCGTGCTCGATATCCAGCCGAATCTGGGATGACCTGGCTGTGTTCCACTAAAGCTGCGCTAATCAGGCTTCAACTGGCTTGATTCATGGGCTTACGCCGCACCGCCGATCCCGTGGGACTTCTGGTAAGGCCTTGGGGGGGGGTCCTTGCAGCACTAACAATATGTCTCTCGCTATCTTGCGCGTGGTCTTACTTGCGCACTGGCCCCCCATGTCGCCGCGCCAAACTGCCGCCGGCTGCTGCGGCCTCGCACCAGGCCCACCCTCAGCAACTGGCGAACCAGCCGTCGCGCGAATCTTCATATGTTACGTGTGTATGTATTCAATGATCCTATATATACATATACATACATGTATATATACATACAGATGCACATGCAATCTTATATTGTACACACACGCGTACATAAGATGGGCAGGCATGCGTGCACAGAGGTGGCACTGCGCGGTGCCATTCGACAACGTGGTTTTGGGCTCAAGAATTGGCTCGTGGTGTGTTCATTCGGCGCCAGGTAGGCCCATCCCTTCTCAAGGGCGGAAGTGGTGAAGAAGGACGACATCCTCGGTGCGTACTGAGGCCGCCCGCGACAGCGGATGATGAGGGGCAGAGGCCGCAGTGACCCAGGACCATGAGAGGCCCCGAGGATCATGATGAGGTAAGGTGGGGGAAGGAAGACATTGTCCGTCACCTCGGGCAGCATGGTACGCCAGCAACGAACAGCAATGTGTGCTGTGGCCAGTCAGGAGCAGATTTCAATTAGTTTTTGCGTGTGCCGGGCATGTACATATGTACATCCAGATGATACAGGGGCGCCCCCCCCGCAACGCAAGAATATCATCATAAGCACATATGTAGCGCGTAGATTGGAAGTAAGTAGCGCAAACTTGACATGTATGCCTATACACGCGTATATGTATACATGTACATATATAGATATGCACAAACATACACACATATATAAATATACATATATACATATATATACATACATGCGTAGGGGCGCCCCCCTCATATGCTGGTTTGTGGGTTTCTTTTCCGCGGAAAACATGCGGTACGTGTCGGAAGGCGAAGGAAAGGGCTGAATTCAGCACGAATGAGTTCGGCGCGAAGTCGGGGCCGAGCTTCTGCTGCGAGTGCACGGAGATGATGAAAGGGGCAGGGGAAAAGTGGCGCACGACTTGTGACCAATGGGCCGAGATGGCCTCCAGAGGGGCGGGGGCCGAGTCCGAAAGGATCAGAGTGTTCGTGCGGACAAGCAAATGCGACAGGTGCGCTGGGCCACCAGCCCGGAGGACGTCGCGGAAAGAGTCTCAGGGGCGGCGGCAAGATGTGCGAGACAAATTCAAGATCCGTTGCGCGGAATGCTGTGGATTCCTGGAGACGGAGGCAGCAATTGCGGCGATCCAGCACGCGACGACGGGCGCAGGGGAGAAGCTCTGCAAGAAGTGCGCGGGGAAGAGGAAAGGCGGATGGAACGAGTGGAGCCAATCGCAGAAGGAGGCGGAGTGCATTAATGAATCGAAAACTGCTCGACGAAGCGCACGCCAGCAACAGCCGCTGAGGTGTTCGGCGTGCCCGAAAGAAGCAGACGGAAGAGGGCGGGAATTCACGGGCGCGGGGCATCTGACAATATATCAAATCAACCGCTATGATCGTACGGGCGCAGGCCATGGGCCAGTGAAATGCCACGGCTGCGACGCGCATCACAAGGGATTGCGGGTGCTCAGGTGTTCCGCGTGCCCGAGAGAAGCAGATGGGGGGGGGGGGGGGGGCGGGGGATTCGCGGACAGGACGCATCTGACAGATATGCAAGTGAAGCACTTCTTCGCGAAGGGTTCGGGCCATCGCCCAGTCATGTGCCGCGCGTGCCAGGAAGAACGCAACCGGCCGCGAGTGCTCGCGTGCTCCGCATGCCCGAGAGAAGCAGATGGGACAGAGCGAGAATTCACGGAGAGGACGCATCTGACAGATAAGCAAGTGAAGCACTTCTTCGCGAAGGGTTCGGACCATCGCCCAGTCATGTGCCGCGCGTGCCAGGAAGAACGCAATCAGCCGCGAGTGCTCACGCGCTCCGCACGCCCGAAAGAAGCAGGTGGGACAGAGCGAGAGTTCACGGACAGGACGCGTCTGACAGATAAGCAAGTAAAGCACTTCTTCGCGAAGGGTTCGGGCCATCGCTCCTGGGTGCGCCGAGCGTGCCGCGACCAAAGGAAGGAGGCGAAGAAGTTTGACGGCTCCGCGCGCCCCCTGGAAAAGGACGGATCGAAGCCTACGTTCTCTGACGGCGGCCATCTGTCGAAAGACCAGAAGCAAAAGTATTTCCAGCGAGGCGCTATGGCGGTTTGCGCCGAGTGCTATATGGCGGAGCGAGCGCCTCGGAGAGACCCGCCGAAACGCCCTGCGGAGGCAAGTGGCGAGCGCGGCGGGAAGCAGCGCAAGTTGCGAGGAATCTGATCGCGAGTCGCGCGCGCGCCGTCATCGGGGCTCTCTTGGGCCGTCCTCGGGCCCTCTTGACCCGTCTTGGGGCTGTCGCGGGCTGTCGCGGGGCCCTCGTGGAGGCTGGGCCGTCTTGGTGCGGTCCGTCTTGGGGCCCTCTAGGGCTATGTGGGGAACCCTCTTGGAGGCTTCTTGGGCCGTCTGGGGGCGGGATTGGGGGCTCCTGGGGCCGCCCAGGAGCAAGGGGCACCCCAAAAGGCGCACGTGTCAAACATGCACGTTTTACGAAGGGAATGGGCGATGTGTTGGCCCTCTTGGGGCATATCTGGGATGCCTCTTGGGGCATCTGGGGGGCCTCTGGGGCCGTCGGGAGGCCGTCGCCGTTGGTTCGGATCGCTCGTGGAGGGTCTGGGACCAGGTGGAGCTCCCGAGGAAGCCACTCGGAGCGCTCCTGGAGCGCTCTTGGGGCCGTTTTCGGGGCTCTCTTGGGCCATCTTGGACGCCTGTGGGCCCGTCTTGGGGCCCTCTAGGGCTATGTGGGAACCCTCTTGGAGGCTTCTTGGGCCGTCTGGGAGCGGGCTTTGGGGCTCCTGGGGCCGTCCAGGAGCAAGGGGCACCCCAAAAGGCGCACGTGTCAAACATGTACGTTTTACGAAGGGAATGGGCGATGTGTTGCGCCTCGGGGCCCTCTTGGGGCATATCTGGGATGCCTCTTGGGGCATCTGGGGGGCCTCTGGAGCCGTCGGGAGGCCGTCGCCGTTGGTTAGGATCGCTCGTGGAGCGTCTGAGACCAGGTGGAGCTCCCGTGGAAGCCACTCGGAGCGCTCCTGGAGCGCTCTTGGGGCTGTTTTCGGTTTTCTCTTGGGCCATCTTGGACGCCTGTGGGCCCGTCTTGGGGCCCTCTAGGGCTATGTGGGAACCCTCTTGGAGGCGTCTTGGGCCGTCTGGGAGCGGGTTTGGGGGGCTCTGTGGCCGTCCAGGAGCAAGGGGCACCCCAAAAGGCGCACGTGTCAAACATGTACTTTTTACGAAGGGAATGGGCGATTTGTTGCGTCTAGAGGCCCTCTTGGGGCATACCTTGGATGCCTCGTGGGGCATCTTGGGGGCCTCTGGAGCCGTCGGGAGGCCGTCGCCGTTGGTTAGGATCGCTCATGGACCGTCTGGGACCGTGTGGAGCTCTCTTGGAGGCCACTCGGAGCGCTCCTGGAGCGCTCTGGGGGCCGTTCTCGGAGCCCTCTGGGGCCGTTTTGGACGCCTGTTGGCCCGTCTTGGGGCCCTCTAGGGGTATGTGGGGGGCCCTCTTGGAGGCTTTTTGGGCCGTCTGGGAGCGGGTTTGGGGGCTCCTGGGGCCGTCCAGGAGCAAGGACACCCCAAAAGGCGCACGTGTCAAAAAATGCACGTTTTACGAAGGGGATGGGCGATTTTTTGCGCCTCGGGGCCCTCTTGGGGCATATCTTGGATGCCTCTTGGGGCATCTGGGGGGCTTCTGGAGCCGTCGGGAGGCCGTCGCCGTTGGTTAGGATCGCTCGTGGACCGTCTGGGACCATGTGGAGCTCTCTTGGAGGCCACTCGGAGCGCTCCTGGAGCGCTCTGGGGGCCGTTTTCGGAGCCCTCTGGGGCCGTCTTGGACGCCTGTTGGCCCGTCTTGGGGCCCTCTAGGGGTATGTGTGGGACCCTCTTGGAGGCTGCTTGGGCCGTCTGGGAGCGGGTTTGGGGGCCTCTGGGGCTGTCTGGGACCATCAGAGAACCCAGAAGCCGAACTTGTGAAAAAATGCACGCTTCACGAAGGGAATGGGCCAATTTTTGCGTCGAGGGACCCTCTTGGAACGCATCTCGGAAGCCTCTGGGGGACTCGTGGCGACCTCTTCTGCCGTCGAGGAAGCCTCGTAGCCCATCTTTGGGACACCTTGGGCGTCTTGGGGAGCTCGTTGGGCGTCCCGGAGCCATTTCGAGGCCACCACAGGAGTCCCTGCACGATTTTCGCGCGTTTTTGCACGATTTTCGGGAGCGCGGGGCCGCCCGGGACTTCCGGCCGGACCCCCCCCCCCCTCCAAATGGACCGGACCGGGCTCCCGGGGGAGGGGTTTGGGGAGGGGGAACATCTCACACGCCGATGAATCCCAAGGGGTCGGCGGATTCCTTGGCTTATTGTCTGGCCTTTTCCAACTTAGGCCATTAACGGCAGCGGCTACGGCTACGGCTACGGATAAGGCTCCGCGCACGTGGCGCCGTGAATGCACGGCGGAGGGGGCGTCAGAAGGGGTGTGAAGAGGTGGGGGTCTGAAGAGGTGGGGGTCTGTGCAAACGGGGGCCAGTCAGAGCGCCGGATCTTGCAGGAGCCTGCAGAACCAGGGCAGGAGGCCGCATGCGAACCCCAACCCCACCGCCCCATTATTTCTGAAGGGGGGGGTGTTCGCTTCGTTCGGGACCTTCCGAGGGAAGTGAACCCCACCCCCCATCTCAGAAGTCGTGGGGAGGTGGGGTACAGTCGGCCCTGATTAGTAGGTCGACCCTGCCAAATCAAGGGTACCCTTGGGTCCTGTGGCTCGCGACCCATGACTCCTGCATCCCCCGTGGCAGTGTGGCCCTCGGAAGGGCCTCGTGTCCTCTCGCGTGCCCTGTCCAATCAAGGCCGACTGCAGGCCTCGCGTGCGGCCTCCCGCAGGAGCTCGTTGCCCTGGGCCTGCCCTGCAGGCTCCTCGCGGGAGCCTGCAGGGCCTGCCGGAGCCGCGCCTGGAGGGACCCGGGTCAGTATGTAGGTGCAGGAGGGGAACAGCACACAGACGCACTGAATCGTCGACTCCCAGGAAAATGTAGGGAAAGAGGGGAAGTGGGCGGGAGGACGAAGACCCAGAAAATATAGGAAAATATGGGGAATCTTGTTGTTTGTTTCTATTTATTACTGTGTCCCAGGGCCCCTTCATAGGTCCCCGACCCGGGCCGCTGCGCGGAGCCGGTCGCGCGGCCCCTGCCAGGACGAGGGTGCCGAGGCTGCTGCATCGCGCATGCTCGAGCCGGTGCAGGCGATGCGGAAGCGGGCGGCGGGCGGCAGCTGCGGCAGCTCGTTGAGAGTATAATGTCAGAGGAGGAAGAGGTACCCATACCTCTACCCTTTCCTCGTTTTCCCCTTTTTGGGCCTCCTCGGAGGCCCTCGTCACCACTGCTGGATTCGCCTCGAAATCCTGGTCATAACCCACCCCAGGAGAGGTCGGGGGGGTAGCGGTATTGGTACCTTTTGGTTGCCCCAGCTCATTGAGAATATAATGCAGGCCCCAAGAGTATACACCACCACCACCACCACCACCACCACCACCACCACCACCACCACCACGTCGATTTCTTCTCCCTCCTCCACCCTCATCTTCCCCCTCCCCTTTCCTGGGAGAGGGAGGGGATGAGGGAGGTGGTGGTGGTGTACATCTTCGGGACAAGACATCGGGGCGGTTTGCTTCGATGCATCTGCAGGAAAGACCCCCCCTCCCAAAGGGGCCTTTTGTTGCGAGTCAGGCAGAGAGGGGGGACTCGAAGAACAGAAAATTGCCTAAGCATAACTTTTCGACGGTCCGCGCGGGTTTCTTGGATCTGTGCTGAGTCCTCCCAGCGGCGCCTCCAGTGGACAGGCAGGGTCGACTACATGTAAGAGTGACCCTTCGCCGGAGTGACCTTTGGTGCGGGCCCACTGGGGCTTCCCGATGACCGAGCGCCTGGCGATAGCAGCGGCTTGCGCGCCTGGGCTTGGCCTTCCCGCGGCCCCCAACAAGCTGCGCACCAAAGATCTTTCCTACCCAGGGTCACTCTTGCGTGCAGCCGACAGGGGGGGGAACTCGAGGAACAACACATTGCATAACATATACTTTCGACGGTCAGCGTGGGTTTCTTGTATCTGCGCTGGGCCTTCTTGGCGGCGCCTCTGGCGCCGCCCTTAGTTCCACGCGCCAGGGAGGGAGGTGGTCTGGCGCGGAGCCAAGAGATGAGGGCGGACCTCCAAAAGTTTGTGTCAATGTGGTTGTTTCTTCCTCTAAGGGGGAGCGGGGGGAGGGGCACATGTGGGAGCGGAAGGGGGCAAGTCGGTATGATCGAGCGGACCTCCAAAAGCTTGTGTTGATGCAGTTGTGTTCGTCCTCTACGGGGTGGCAGGGGGGATGGGCACAGGTGGGAGCGGGAGGGGGCAAGTCGGTATGATCGGAATGGGTACATGAAGAGCGGGGACTTGAGGCCATCTTGGGCGTCTTGGGCCCTCTGGAGCCGTCTTGCAGGCCGCTCGGGGCCCTCTTGGCCCCGTCTTGGGCCCCTCTTGGGCCCGACACATTCACGCGCCACCAGTTGGCAAAGCCGAGGGGGCACGCGGGAAGCCCGGAGAGATTTGAGCGCGAGGGGCTGGGGCCCCTGAAAGACCCCCCAGGAGTGAGGGTTGAGGCCTGGAGGACTGGGCCCATAACCTGAGGACGCGCCCACTTCGCGCCCAGCGGCACGGTTGCGGATTCCCTGTCGTAACCATCGTATTCTGCGATGGTATGATTCTAGGCCTCCCAGATGGGGTCCGAGTAGATGGGGTCGCAGGATCGCGCCGCATCGCCAATGCATCGGCGATGCGGTTCGATGTGGAGCCCGATTTTCTCCCCTCCAAAAGCACCGATACGCCGCCGACATCGCGGATGCATCGCCGATGCTTCGGCGATGCATCGCCGATGTATTGGCGATGCGACGCGATCCTCCGACCCCATCTGCTCGGACCCCATCGGGGAGGCCTCTAATGATATGTCGGGGTCTGCTATATTTGGTTCAAGAGGCTTGCGCCCTTCTGTCGATCCGCAAGAAGGGGAACGAAGTCCCCAGGTGAGGCCTTTGGGGTGCCGTTTCGGGCCCTTCTCGGGGGCCTGCTGGCCCTCTCGGGGGTCCTCTTGAAGCGGAGGGCTCGGCACGCCAGTTCGGCTTGCCCCATCTTGGGCGCCTCGTTCGGGGCCCTGCTGGGGCCTGCCTGGGCCATCTTGGACGACTCTTGGGCCGTCTTGGGGCCTTCTTGCGCATGTTTGGGGCCCTCTTGGGGCGATCTTGGGGGCCTCTGTGAGCAGTCTTGGACGCTGTTGAGAGCGAAGAGGCGGACATGCTAGAGATCTACGCTTTCACATGGGATTGGGGCGACGTTTGCCTCTTGGGGCTTTCTTGGAGGTCCTCTTGGAGCCTTCTTGTGGTGTTTTGGAGGCCGCTTGGGCAGTCTTGATGCCATCCTGATTGCTTTTGAGCTCTTCTCGGCGTGTTGGAGCTCAGCTTGAGCCAGCTGAGAGTCCACGAAATGCAGATCTGAAGGCTCCGAAGGTAGGGGACCCCCCCCTTTAACGCGATCTGCGATTTTGGATCCTGGGAGAGGGGGACGGGGGGATGGGTAACAACCAAATGCCTCACACGCGTTTTCACCCCCGGCAAGCAGGGGCTCTGTTATATACTATCTGGGTTTATCGCATTGTTTCGATGTACGTGTGTGTGTGTGTGTGTGTGTGTGTTTTGTTGTGTTATGCTTATCTTTTCTAGCGTATAGCATTGTTTAAGTGTTTGTTCGATGTGTAGGAGGAATCGTAGCAGCGGTATTGTGATCTTGATAGTGGTAGTGGTAGTCGTGGGGACAGGATGAGGAGAGGGGGGCTGGACAGTCGGGACAGTGGGTGGGCCTGGGGATTTGGCGGCCGTGGTTTGCAGGGTGGGCGGTAGTAGTGAAACAGGAGGCAGGGTCCAGGCTTTCGAGACATTGGTCGGAGCTGGGGGTCTGACGACCGCGGTATGCAGGGTGGGCTCGGGCGTATTGATCTGAAAATTTGACGGCCCCAACCTGTCTGGTGGGGAAAACATCACCACCAAGATTCATGGGTTCATGGGTCCCTTGGCCACCGCTCGCACCCTGAGGGCCTCCTTGAAAAAGGGCCCACCCTGGCAGCCTGGCAGCTCATTGAACCCCTTCGGGACCGCGGCTTGACCATTTCAGCCCCGTTGGGGCCGTGGGTCGCGTGGATTGGGCTGTATGACAATTCGGCTATTGTCAATGCTGTCTTACCGTGGGGACCTTCGGCGTCGGGGCCCCTGCCTGCCGGCATAGTGAGGTGAGTGAATTTGGCGTCAACGCGCACATTTCCGCGTGGCGCGCGTGTGCCGTGACAAATGACGCCGTCGTGATGATGCTGTTGCTGATGCTGATGCTGATGCTGCTGCTGCTGCTGATGAGGATGATGATGATGTTGCTGATGATTGTGGTGATAATGGTGATGATGGTGATGATGATGGTGGTGATGGCGATGGTGATGATCCAGATAGTGATGATGGTGTTGATGATGATAAGGATAGCGGTGATGAGCATGATGAAATGATGATGGTGACGATGATGGTGACGATGATGGTGGTGAAGGTGTTGGGTGTGTTGGTGATGGTGCTGATGGTGGTGAGTGGTTGTGTTGGTGAAGATTCAAACGATAATGATAGTGTGTGGTGCTGGTGATGACGATGAGGGTGAAGAGGGGGGTGGCGAGGAGGGCGAGGAGAGGGGACGAGTAGATGAGGAGGTTGCCCGACCCTGCGTCCGGAGGCCGCCCGCAGCGCCAGGACGCAGCCCCCCCCCGCCCTCCCCGCGGCCGACGAATCGCGCCCGAGTGCCCAGCTCCTCGCTTCGCGCTCGCGGCGCCGAGGCCGAATCCTCCCATAGGTCTGGCGACGTCTTTGGGTTTTCGGAGGTTGATAGAACCCCCCCCCCCCTGCCCACGCCGATGCGCGAGTCGTTTTTTTTGGGGGGGGGTCGATGCGCGGTCCTCGAGAGGGCGCTGCAGCCGAAAGCTGGTGGGCCTGCGCCCGCCGAGATCTGGCTCCGCGTCGGCTTCACCACTTTGGTGCTCTGCGGCAAGGGGGGCTGCTCTGTCCACCGCGGGTGGTTGCCTCGACGGGGAGGGGTTGGCGGGGTCGTGTCGGACGAGGCCGGGGAACAGATAGAGGGGGGCGACCGGCCCCGCCGCCGGGCGCCTTTCCTCCCTGTGCCTCTTGGGCCCCACCGCTGGGCGCCTTTTCCTGCCCAAGTCTGTAGATGTACATGTGTACGTCTGTGCGTCTTCGTATTTTTGTGTGTTTGTAAAGGTATACGTATACGCTTAGGAGTATGTACCTATTTATATTTTCCTATACGACCACCCTGCGGGTGATAAGGAAGTTGGGGGCCAGCAGTGGGCAACAGTGGTGATTGTTGCGTTGCCGCTCGCTCTTGGGAGCCTTGCTGTCGAGTTGTTTACGTCATCCTTCGCTCTTGGGCGCCTTGGTATCATTCTCCCCCCCGGGAACCGGCGAAATAATAACTTATTTAGTTCATTTCGCAAGGGCCTGGAGGGCCGTTTGGGCGCGTCTTTTGGACCTTTTGGGGGGTCTTGGAGGCCTCTTGGGGGGCTCTTGGGGACTCTTGGGTGCCTCTTGGGCCGATAGTGCGATCGATCTTACGATCGATCTCACTATCGGTCTCACTATCGATCTCACTATCGATCTCACAATCCAATTCGTCATCGGTCTCACTATCATTTTCGCACCAGCGGGACACCGGGACACCGACGGGACACCGCGCGCCACCGCTTGCTGGAGGGAGAATCATTTGGTCCGGCCGGGGCCCAGCCACAAGCGGGACACAGGCGGGACACCGGCGGGACACCGCGCGCCACCGCTTGCCTGAGGGAGAATATTTGGTCCGGCCGCGCCTCAGCCACAGGAGACTTTCCTTTCGCCCGTCCAAGCAGCTTCTCCTCGCCCGCACGCACGGCACGCACGAACACGAAACTGAAACCGATTTCCCGGTGGGGGGCTCCGTTTCACTTCGATCTCACCCCCCATTTTCCGATATATGTATACATTTTTACAAGTCTGCACCTTCATTGGCATTTCTGTTTGTACGAGTAGATGTGTAGGGATATGTCTATGCACATATATTTGTACATTTGTATACATATATGTATGTATATGTATAGGTATATGTAGTCCTATGTGGATATGTATATGTATATGTAGACA